GCCACAGATGTTCGCTGTACTTGGGACCCCAACCTGGGAGTCTAAAGCGTCATAACACTGCCAGTTTTGGGGCAAACGCCTTGATCGTTTGAGCCCAGTTTTTTATTCGCTGTACACCTCTTCGCCCCTTCTAGTTAGTGTTGACTTGCTCAAACGTAACACAACGGAAAAACCGTTTCGTCATGTGTACATGATAGCAAATTTCAAGAGCGTTTGCTCGAATTACTATTGTTTCAAAGTTCTACTCACACTTTTGAGTAGTTTGCACACACCAAGAACCGGTGACTAGAGTCCCACAGAATGCGCGAATAGACTAACGGATTTACTTTTTTTAACTATAGATAATTTATAGATACCTTTATCGTTGTTCATGATACACAACTCTTCTCTTCATTCCGGCACTGGTTTGTGAATTTATAACACTACGATTAGTCAGCCGGATCTAGCCATGTTTAGCTAAATGACTAGGTGGCTCGCTCCGAAGTGCTCGGTTAACGGATATCATGGTGATCGCTGGAGACTTCTACGATCAAGTGGGATCCATGGACGAAACAGCAAGGCTGCTTGGAGGTTAACATGCAATCCCAGCCTACATGACTGACAACAGAGAATACCTACTCCAACTTTGTGCTGACTACAGACTGTTTCTGTCAAGCACGAATTTCTCGCACAAAAACGTCACCGTCTTACATGGAGACCGCCAACCGCTTCACAACGCTGGACTCAAATCGACCACATCGCCATCAGCCGCCGCTGGAGAGGATGCATTGAAGACTGCCGCTCCCACTGGTCAACACCCGTGGACACGGACCATGCACTGCTGCGAGCGAGATTCTCCCTACGTCTAGTAAACAACCGCAGAAAAGCCACCGAAAACGGATGCCCAAGAAACAATGTCAGTAATGGTTGCAAATCGGCCTTCGAAGCGACACTGTCAGATTACGTCTCAACTCGACCATCAGCCGGAGGACTCAGTGAGCACGGAATGGCAATCAAAGAAGCGATTTCAATGTCAATCGAAACAACAGCAAATTCTGATCCACGATCAAATGAAAAACGATGGTTCTCCCCGTCTTCGGTTGCCCTGCTGGACGCTCGCAAAGCCATTCCTTCGGATTCGAAATACGGCCAAACGCGCAAATCCCTTAAACACCAGCTCATCAAGAGTCTGAGGAATGACCGCGAGAAGTGGTGGGTAGGAAAGTGTAGAGAGATGGTGAAGGTTGCGGCTATCGGTAATAGTCGCAATCTTTGTTGTTTAATTAGGAGTACGGGTCGGAAGAAGGTAGGCGTAAGTGAGGTAATTAAGGAGTCCGATGGCACACTGATCAGCAGCGCCATCTAGATCGATGGGCTGAACATTTCAAGGCTCAGTTCAGCTGGCTCTCATCAGCGCACGTTTTCCTAATACCCGATTCAACTGTGCGTATACTGCCATTTGACATCAGTCCTTCACCTGAAATGGAGGTTGCCCGAGAAATAAGCTATCTTAAAAGATATAAGGCTTCCCGTCCCGACGGGCTTTCTCCATCGGTTTTTAAGAATGGAGGTCTAGCTTTGGTTTCGCTGGTAACGAAACTCATGGATTCAGTGTAGGAAACAGAACACGTTTCAACTGAATGCTGTGAATCGATGATCATGCCTCTTTACAAGAAGGGCGACAGGGCCTCTTGTGAAGACCACAGAGGAATTAGTTTAATCAATATTCCCTCTAATCTTTTCGCTGGTATCATACTCCGTCGAATGTCTGCCGCACGTGAAGATTGCACGCCTGAGAACTGGGCTAGTTTTAGACCTGGTCGAGGTTGTATCGATCACATCTTTACTCTCGTCAAATCCTAGAACACAGACACTTTTCGTAGACCCATCGTTTCCATCTTCCTCGACCTCAAAGCGGCCTTTGACTCAGTCAACCGCTCTAAACTCTGGCGCTGCCTTTCCCCGAAGGGTGTGTCGGGGAAGTTTTATTTCAATATTACAATCTCTCCATGATAATATCCGGAGCCGAGTCCTAGCTTACGGCATTTTTTCATTCGAGAACGCCACTGAAAGTGGTGTTCG